CCGGCTTTGCAAAGCCTCGGGGAAGCCAGCAGCGGAGCAGCCCAGACGCGCCTGGGCTGCCTCGCTGCCCGAGCCCCCCTGCAGCTTTGCTCTGCATCTTCCTGGTTTGCAGACCAGGGAGACGCAGAGAAAGCCCCAGAGTACACGGGCGGCAGGACCGTGAGGTCCCGCAGTCCGTGTACTCTGGGGCAGCCCCGTTCGTAACTGCGGATCCGACTTAAGTCGGATCCGTGTAAGTCGGGGACTGCCTGTATATCAAATAGGAGACTAGATTTGAGCACTACTGCAGGACTTTCATCTCATAAGCTGTTGGAACAGTGTCCATAGTATTATTATCCAATAGTAACAAAGACTAGTATCCCACATCAAGTTTGGACTTTTGCACAGAAGTGTCTGCAATTGCTGATAAGCAAAGGAATGGGCTTATGGACAAAGTTGTTCCTCAATTTCTTCACGGCTGTGAGGCAAAAAGCAAGCTTTCATATTGTGATATTTTCTTTGTTGCATTTTGACTGGAAGCATGTAGCAAAGGATTGATCTCAAATATTTTAAACTTGTATCAATATAACCTTGTTGCACAATGTAACAAACAATGCTGGTTTAATTATATGATATGGTTGTGGGGGTGGGTGACCTAGAAAACAATTCTGCATTGGCAGGGAGATATGACCTAACAGCACTCTGATGGAAAAAGTCCTATGATTCAGAGGAAGCAGAATACATCAGAAAAATGACCTTTTGTTTTCTCAAGAGCACATAAACAGAGAGAGGTACTTTAAAAATGAGTTGCTATGTATATTATCTCAAGGAAGAAAATGTTACTGCCGAGGTGATTTGGCCCACCAGCATTTATAAATTGTACACAAGTTTGACATCTTTAATGAATTGTTAGCATATCTACGCAAGTACTTGGAGTTTGATTATCATTGTGCTGCTTAGTGGATTGCTTGCTGGCCCAGTGACTAGTCGCATACTACCTGTCCTAGTGAGTAGATGGACTGTCTAGTGTTTCAAAAGCAAACCCAAAATGCAGGGTCCTGGGAAAATGCATATATTGTGGAGTGAATATTATATGCAAGGAAATTATTCAAGGAAGAAATAATTGTGTAATATATGCTTTTGTGATAATATCTGAGACCAGCAGTGTCCATTTCAGAAAGGGCTGCTCATTGTGCTACATTACAAATTAAGGGCCCATCTACGCTATAAAAATTCTAGGCAGTAGTCCTATTCCCTAGAAATATGTTGTGAACTTATTCCTGTGCACATTCTATATGGTAGATACCCTGTCTATATACTGGTGGTGGTAGATATAATATGAATGGACCGTAATGACTTAAGGGAAAATTTTCAAAATGACACATGGCAGTTAAGTGCCAGACTGTTGTGTGTGTGCCTTTGAAAATCTGCTCCTTGGTGTCAGCTCAGTCATTGAGGAAGAATAGGTATGCAGCAGGTTTTTGTGATAGTTTCCACTGCTAAAGCCTTGGATTCAGATGCTGATTGAATTACAAATGAAACTGAATTTGGTCTTCCTCCATCCTTAATGTGTCACAGTTCAGTACTATTATCATCTCTGTTTTCAGAGGTGCCCCAAACTAGAGTAGCATGGTAGTTGCATGTCAGAATTTAGTTGCAGTGGTAGGATGTGTGAGGAATCTAGGTTTTGCTAGGCCTAGCTGTAACAGGTAGTAGTCCTGTTACAAGCACCAAACTCATCTCTTCAGTATGTATTTTATGTTGCAGTGTGAGTTGTTGAATTTTATATTATTTCCTAAATGAGAGAGTGTATTTCAGGCATCAGCAAATATATTTGCCTCCTAATAGGAGAGAATGTAAGCCTCTTGCTAATGCTAACAAAGTCTTAGGTGCATATTTGTACATTGCTTTTTGCAAGAAAATGAAGTAGAGCTGAATGCAGGAACATGTTTGGACATATTTAGAATAAATGGCTGTAGAGTTTAAACATTCTCAAGCAAATGTTCTCTTACATTATCTTAGTTTTCATTGTGATGGGCAAAATCTTACACTGGGGAATTGAATTGTTTGAATTAATAGACCTTAACACTCAGATGGCATCACAGAAGGTTGGAGTCTTGCATAAAATGTTAAATATGTACTGAATAGCTCTTCTCCATTAGTTTAGAGTCAGAAATTTTAAACTAGTAAATCTAAAAAAAAATCTGTTCTAAAGCCTCAAGTGTCATTCAAGTGCCTCTTCATTTTTAACTTTTTGTCCTTATCCACAGGTTAAAGTATTGCACAATCAACTCGTTCTGTTCCACAATGCCATTGCAGCATACTTCTCTGGGAATCAGAAGCAGCTTGAACAGACACTTAAACAGTTCCACATCAAATTGAAAACTCCTGGAGTAGATGCTCCATCCTGGCTTGAAGAACAGTAATCAAACCAGAAAAGAGGAACATTGTTTAATCTAGAATCTGTACATCTGATACTGATTAAAAAAAATTAAAGGGTTGGGGTAGAAGTACTGTGGCAGTGATTCTTGCACAAACAGCTTTAATTTTTTCCCTTTTGTAATACTGTAACTGAATATAGTGGGAGGATGGGTGGCTTTTAGGTACCCGAGCATAATTTCTGTCATTTCAGAATTTGAGTACTCCTTTTGTATGTGACGGGTTGATGGGTATTTCTGTAGTTTAAAAAATATATAGATTTGCACTGATAAGATGTTTGTGGTTTCTGGTCATTGTGGTGGCTAGTCAAAATATTTCTAATGGGAGGTTTACATGATTTGTACCAACATCTGATATTTTATATATGAATACATCTTTAATCATTTTCATGTAATTGTGTTTTAAAAAGGAGAGTAAAAAGAATATTTTGCAGAGTAATAATATAAGGCCTTCATGCAGTACCTGCACAGAGGCAACAGCTGTTATAGATGGCTGATTGACTCATGGAATTGCAGCAAATACCTTTTTAAAAGGTAGGTCTTTCCCTGTCCATTGTATATTTAAAAAACAAAAACTCTAAAGAAGCGAGAATCACTGTCGGTCTGAGGCTTCTAAGCACACGTTTTAGCTTTGCACCAAATGAGTGAAGCCAACCATTAACCATACTAATTCCATTTTAAATGTTTCTTTCTGTATGAAACAAATACCATACTAGCCTTAAATCACAGGTATGTGCCTTTTCATAAGATACTTCTTTCAACCAGTGTACATAATCCACGAGAGAGCCCTTTTTGTATCTGTTCCCAACAAGGGAAAGGATACTGTAATGCTCTATCGCTTTCTACATTTTAAATTAAGATAAAAATTCAGTTAATGTCAATGGATTAATGTGAGGTTTGAGAGAAAAATAGGGCCAGTATGATTTACTGCTG